TACACGTTGTTGTTAAGTGCTGTTGAGTAGATTCCGACCCATAGCGACCCTGTAAAGGGTTTCTGAGGAGCACACTCACACACACACACACACACGCACACACGCACACACAGAGGAGCAGGAGGCCTCAATTCTCATCCTAGAGGTTTGTCTCTTCCTTCATTACCTTGCCCTTCCTATGCCCACAGTGGGGTTCCAAATGGATGGTCCCCAAATGGCTCTGATGAAGCATCTTGGGGCTGTAGGCCCAGGGCTTGAGGTGGGGAGAGGCTGGTGTGTGGGAGGCAGAGGTCCTGGGTGGAGGTGGTCCAGTGTCCCTGGGGTCCTTGTCTGACTGCCCCTGCTTTACATACAGTGAGTGCACTAGCACCTCGGAGATTGTCTGCCGGCCTGATGAAGGTGAGCGCTCTCCACTGTCCTTCTCCCCCTGCCCCCACTCCCTCCCAGACATGGGCATGTCCACACAGAGCAGATGGCTAAGCCTTGCTCTGGGGGTGGGAGGGGGGGCTCTGTCCCTTTGTGTGGTCAGGTCCTTCCCTGCTGATTTGCAACAGCTTCCTGGCCCCTTGTCTTTCCTCCTCAGGGCACATCTCCCCCTCACCCCTCCTAACAGTCAGCCTGTACCTTTCTGGGAATACAGGGTGGGGCCAGTGGGCATTGGTTTGCCATTAGTCTGAACTGGGGGTCATCCAGTCTTTTCCTAACTTGTGACAGGCCTGGGGGTGGGGATGGGGGCAAGAGGAGTCTGGTGAGTCTTGTCCTGCTCCACTGTATTGATGGTTGGCCCTCCACCCACAGGAAAGATTGTCAACCAGACGGAGATCAATGGTTTCTGCTACTGGGAAATCTGCGGCCCCAACGGGACCATTGAGCAACACTTCATCATTTGTACATCTACCATACCACCCTCATCGAGCCCCGTCACCACGCCTATCTCCTCCACCACCACCTTCACTACCACCACCACCACCACCACCACCACCCTGACCCCGACACCAAGCACAGGTACAGCCCACAGCCTTGCACCCTGTTTAGAGGGCACTTCCAGGGCAGGGGGAGGGACACAGCAGGCTGCTGGTCTTCTCTTCAGACCTGGTACATCCCCTGGCTCCCTCCCCTGTCCCTCTCAGTAGGGACACCAACCTAATGGCCACATCCACAAGCCCAGGCCACAGTGAAAGGTCACATGAGGAAGTTTCCCCAGACCAGCAACAAAATATGCCCTAAACCCAAACAGGCTTTCTGTCGCCTAGTCAAGTCTGACTCATAGCAGCCCCGTACAGAGACCGGGGTTCTGTTTGAATCTTAGCTGCTCCTAACCAAGCCACCAGGACCAGCGAAGCCACCCCCCAAATAATTTTTTTAAATATTAAGAAAAAAAATGTAGGCCTTGCACTTTATAGTGAGCTCAATCCTAATCCTTTGGTGTTTCTTTCTTTCTTTTTTTTTTATGCTTTGCCGCAGTTTCTTCTCCGGTGACTCCGAGTAAGTTATGAGGATGATGCCTTACGATGGCAGTAGGCAGAGAACATGGCCTTGGCCCATCACAAAAGAATCTCCCCAGGGGAACTTCTATGAGGCTGAAGTGGGCTGGAGGTGCAGCCACCTGAGTGGACCCAAGAGTGGGGTCTCTTTGGTGACTTTAGTCATAGTTTTCCGAGTCCAGGGATGGGTGAAGTGGGACTTGATTTGTTCTGGGTGACAGTATCATTGGTCGAGACTAGAGACAAATCCCTTCTCTTTGGTTACTGAATTTTTGACCTGGAATTTGAAAATGGCTGAGGACAGAACAATTAGCGGGAGCTTTGAGACATCTGTCACACCCAGGGTGTCGTCTCAGGAACCCCTCTTGTCTCTAGGTCTCAGATTTTCAGCAGCAAAACCAGGGTCAAGGTGGCCAATCGATGTTCTGACTCTAGAGTTGTGTCCTTGGGCAATGACAGGGTAGTGGCATGTGAGGGCAGGTGTAGGGACCTCTCAGATGGGCCGTTTGCCAGCGCCGACGATCACTGTGGGGTTTCTTCCCTAGAAATATGCTGCTTCTGGTCGGACTGGATCAATGAGGATCACCCGAGCTCTGGCAGTGATGGCGGTGACCGAGAGACATTTGACAGCGTTTGCAGGGCCCCTGAGGACATCGAATGCAGGTCTGCCACAGACACCAACCTCAGCTGGGAACAGCTGGGCCAGAAGGCTCAATGTGATGTCTCTGTTGGGTTCATTTGTAAAAACGAAGACCAGTTTGACAATGGGCCATTTGGACTCTGTTATGACTATGAGATACGAGTCAACTGTTGTCTGCCAATGGATGAGTGTCCCACGACTGCACCACCAACGACCACAGCCACCCGTACCCCTTCATCGACTCCCACCACTCCACTAACTTCTACCGCTACACTCAAGACCACTACCTCATTGACAACAACCACAATTGAACCCACCACAACTGTGACCACCACACCCACCCCAGAATCCACCACTACTGTGACAACCACCTCACCAACCACAACTCCATGTATTGGCTGTA